GTTGCAGAGAAAGTTCACCCTGCATTTTTTTTTTTTTGTTGTTTTTTAAAACGTAGGGTCAGCGTTTGCAAAGGGTCCATTTCTGCATAAGTGAGCACACAAACCCGGTGCCTGTTCAAATAGTCTGCGGCTCTCTCTCAGGCAGCTCATGACAACAGCCCAGCAGCACCACTGTTTGATCTCCACTGTTTTCCTTAATCTGGGTTGTCAAGGTTCGCTTGTTGGAGGCTGTTTACTTTACTTCTCCTACAGAAAAAAGTGGGTTTTTTTCCCCCTCAGACAATGACTAATCCAAAGAGCAAGAGGGAGGGAGCACTGCCAGCAATCGCTGTTAAAGCTGCAGTTTCCCTTTTATAAAAAGGTCCTGCTGTTGCCAGCTGCAGACTTACTGTAAAAAAATATATTAGGGGAATGCTTCATTCTCTCGTGTACGCGGTTCACTCTCAATAGAGATACATAATCGCTATCTTTTTTATATGAAGTTATCATTTTGGTGAGAATAAAAATTCTGTCTCACATTACAAATGACTAATAAGTAATGAAGGACATTTGTTTGTGATATGTAAACATTAAATCATTTGTCCGCAATACACCTGTTTTGTATTATAAAATTAAAACAGAGCTAAAAAGGAGCTGAAATATTTTTTATATAAATTTCACTGCTTTGAATTTATTTGTACAGGCAAATTAATTTTGCTCACCCAACGTTACATTTATTTGGATAGTAGAAAACTACAATATTACAATATTATTATTATTATTATTATAAAATTAATTTACCCGTCCACTCAATAGCAATAACGGGTCATTGTTGATTTAACACAATTTAAACCTTATTTTTCCAAAGTGAATAAAGTGCTCTGCAACTTCCGCTCCTTTACACACAGAAGAATGTCCACTTTGACCCCAGAAGAACCACCGCCGGTAGAACCCGCGGAACCAAACGAGGAGCCAGAACTAAACTAAACTAAACTAAACTAGAGACTAAATCGTCTGAATCCTGTGTGTCCGCGACGTGTTGAACATCCGCTTTTAACGCCGTCTCGTGTCGGCGAACAGCCCCGTTGAAGCACCTTCTTCCCGGCTGGTTGGGAGCGGACACGTGGGGGGAGAAAAGCCCCCCTGCGGTGCCCCGCGCCTCAAATCACGACCCTCACAAGTTAACTAACGTCGCTTTAACGACGCCGCGCCGCGTGCACGCGCCGGGTGGTGCTGCTGGTGGTGGTGGTGCTGGTGGTGGTGCTGGTGGGGGGGCTCGCGACGAGACACAACTAAGTTAACAAACACAACTTTCACAGCGACACAAAACGAGCGGCGGACGCGGCGCTGCCCGCACGCACACACACACACACACACACTGACGTTAACATTAAGGTAACTTACCCGCGTGGACACGCGCGGGGCTACCGATGCAATAACGGAGCCGTGCACGCGACAACAGATCGCACCGTCAACAGCGGCCGGTGGAGGTGGAGGTGCCGGTGGAGGAGGAGGTGCCGGTGGAGGAGGAGGAGGTGGGGGACTAACTTACTAACTTAACTACGAGGAGGAAAAAGCTCGTCTCGCCGAGGAGGGCGTCGAGGAAAAAGAAGCGAAACGTGGAGTTTGGCGCGCGCTGACTCCCGGTGCTGGCGGGGAAACGCGCGAGCTGCTCTCCTCCTCCTCGGCTGATGTTCAGATGGTTACACGGAGGGAGAAGAAGGGGAGAAAACATGCGAGAGGGCGAGAATCGCCGATTTGGATGTTGTTGTTTTTGATGTTCCAGGTCCGTGACGTCACATCCACCTGCTGGGTGAAGCGCGTTTGCCGCGTCGCGGATCCTCCGCCGCGCATCACAGCCGCGCGACCACGAGTGCGTCCTTTCCGCTGCGCGCTGAGCTCAACGCGTGACACGGACTACAACTTATTATTTCAGAGAATTGTCCTGTCTTTTTCTCTCGTTTTTTAGATGTTATCAACTCAAATATGAGAAGTTGTAACTGTTAAGTTTTAAAAAAAAGAAAGGTGCAGATTCCCAGAGGACTTCATGGCTCTATTTTCTGGCGTGTGGTTCCAATTCCATATTTTAATATTTTAAAGGGGATGTCTGAATTTCAGATAAGTAACTTCAACGAATCTGTGCTGCGGCCTTTTTTGCTTCTTTTTTTTTGGTTAAATAGTTTTGTTCACTTCTTCACAGTTTCACCTCAGCAGACAGTCACAACAAGTGCAAATAAAAAATAAAATCCTGATAGTAGTTCAAATCTGAGTGAGCGAGAACCACCGTCCAGTCGACGCCTGACGCGCTGACGTGACGTGAAGAACACGCCTAACGTGGTTCTTTCCCTCCTGAAGCTCCTCGCTGCTTCATCATGGCCGCGCTGCTGGAGACGTCCTCTTGTTGGTGGACAGCGCCGCCCTGTGGCCAAGTCCCGTCTCAGGGGCCCTGCTGCGGTATTTAACCACCACAGTGTGACTTTATGACTCGATCCTCTTTTATTACAGATGTGGAGGGTTACACTCCTCTGGTCACACCTGTGAGGGTTGGCGGTTCGATCCCGGGTGCTGCTAACCTGCACGTCCACGTGTCCTCGAGCAAGACACTTGGCCCAGCACGTGGCCACAGTGTGTGGATGTTGTGTGAGGGAGCTGCTGTCACCACTGTGTGAGTGGATGAATGATGTGTGGTCAGAAGTAAAGTCCATTTAGCATCAGCTATGGATCGAGCTTCTGAGGATACTTGGAGACTTTTCGTAGCATATTGACGATGACAAATAATTAAAAAAAAACACTTTTAAAATGGTGGTTATCTTAAGAATAATTTAAATGTTTTACCTTAGTCTATAATACTTCAGATTTCACTTGTAGTTTAGGGTTTGGGTTTGTAAACCCACAAAACCTTTGTGTGGTTTAAGGCATTCAGGCCAAACTAAACGCAGGAAAACCTATTTTCCATCCTTTGGTTCTTTAACAGACAATAAATAATTTAGACATAAACGCGTTTGACAACAACAATTTGGACACGATTGATTAATGAAAAAAGGGGGTGTAAATAAATACAACGAGGGCTTAAGACAGGATGTGATATGTTCTCAGGTCTCATATGCATAAAACAGTTCCATCACTTGTCTTTGTCATTAACATAATTACAACGTGTCCTCAAACCTGTGGCTTGTAAACAGCAAATTCCAAGTGCAAAGGTTGATATGAGCACATGTTGTAGTCACATCCGTCCCTTCCTGGTGTTGTGTTCAATGACCTCAGGGCCTGTGAAGCCACAGCAGCGCACAGATGGCCTGTGAGACCTTTAGGTGACCTTTTGACCCCACGCCTGAGAGAAAACTACTAACCGACATCCTCCCCGTGCAGCGTGACGCCCATTGTTTCCCTAACAGGATCTGTACTTTCTTCTTCCACTCGAGTCTTTCACAGAATCACTGCACCGTTTTTTGTGTGTGTGTGTGTGTTTTTTTTGTTCTTCAAAATGTTGTAAACACGATTGTCTGATTGTGTAATTAAGGAGAACAACAGCGTGATGTGCGTGCAGTTTGGTGGAGACAATCGTTGTAATTCTTCCCCGGCGTGTCGCCGCGGATCTCTGAGCCCAGCGGCGCCCGGCGGCCTCGCGTCCTCTCTTTATTACCACGTTTGGTTTGGTGATGCGCCGTGTGGATCAAAGGCCCCCGAATGCATCCAGTGTAGCTACAAATTAACTGAGGATCAGTATCAGTTACGCAACAGCGTCTCCACACACACACAAACGCACACAGGCATGCACACAACTAAGTAATTAGCTTTCTGTTAATTAGGTAATTAAGCAGATGAACAGGAGCTCCTCTTGATTTCCGTGGGGGGGCTTTCATGGGGGTTTGTCCCCGTGTTGCTGGGGGGGCAGCAGCATTCAGCGTGTAATGAAAGGGGCTGTACAGATAATGACTGTCAGGGGACAAAGAGATGAGACCTTGTTGTGCACCATTCTGCAGCGGGGGGGTTGACGCGTGGATGTTTTATGTATTTATTTGCAGTCGTCAAATATGAATAAATATAAAGAATAAGGAGCTTCCTTTGTAAAACGATAAGAATTTCTAATGTTTCTGTCCCTTCTTTTAAAATGTGTGTTTTTGTGCCATAAACGGTCTTTCTTTTCTAATTCTGACCCGTTGAGGCATATAAATCAGAAATAAATACTATTTTATGTGTAAAATCCTTTCTCTATGTTTTTTTTACAGCTGGACACCGTGGACATTTTAAAATCACTTCAGCATGTGTAAAGCCATAAGGCACGATTTAAATATACATCAGTACGCGGAGGTCAGTGACAAAATAGGCTCATTCAATTTAATGCATTCACATTAAAAACAAAGTAAATAAATAATCGGCAATCGTCAGCAGAGTGGAGGGAGAAGAATCACTGACCATGTCAGGCGATATTCACATCTCATTGTGTGCATTTCTGCCATGTTAGGAGATTAAAACAACCATTTCTACGAGCTGCGGCTGCAGCTTGATGGGGTTCATGGTGGACAGTAACAGAGCGCTTTGGATCAGGGAATCCGCTGTCAAATTGAATCCTTCACCACAGAAAAAAAGTATATTTTCCACAGCAGAATTAAAGCCCAACGGTCATTAATGATATATTCCATTGTCATTAGATACATAGGAAAGTATTCCATTTTCTATTGAGATGTGGTTTCATGAGTAAAGACACAAACCTCTTACAGATGTGTGAGTTCTGCCGGCATCTGGTGGTGAATTTACACACTGCAACTCCACATGGAGATAAAACCCTCGTTCAAAAACCCAAATCATATTGTCTGTTGGTTCTGATCTAAAGAAAGCAAACGTCATTTACAGGGTGTTCTAGTATTTGAGCCCCTAAATGCTGCACACTGCTCCTCTATCTGTATGTTTAAAAGGCTCCTACATGCTTTTCTTTGACCCCAGGAGTCGTCCTACGAGACCACTGATGGACACTTACCAGCAGTGTGTATTTTACTGTGAAAGAAGAAACACGCAGGACATTATTTGTATTGTCATTTCCTTTTTATTTACTTGTTTTGGTTCACTGCAAATCCTGTTTACAAAGGAAATATTGTCCAATTCTCACTGATGTGCAACACGGCACCAGTAGAGCTTTTAGTAAAGGAAAAAAGCTCCTTCCCTATAAATAGATGTATCTATTGATATGGACATTCGCCGATGGGGGAAGTCAGTGTAACATCTGGTTAACGGTGTCGTCTTTGAAATCGAGCCAATGAGTATTGATCACGTCTGTCACATTTGACTTTTCCCATCTCTTCCTGACACGCTAGTTACATTTCTCACCTAAAAGCAAACCACAGCGCCTGGGTGTGTTGTAAGAAAGAAAAGGGCAAACAAGTACAAACAAGTACTGCGGAGCAGAGAAACGTCTCTTGAGAGCAGCACAATAAACCATGTGTGACCTCGCCGAGAGCAGAGGACCACTTTCAACACGCAGAAGAGCTCAGACGCAACGTGGCGGAGAACATCTCTCACTAAGCCTTTTGTCTGCGCTGGAGTGTGTTGGGATGTGTTGGGACACGCGGGGGGGGGACAGGTAGTCGTGTGCAACAGCTCCCAGCGTCACCCTGATACCAAACTGAGGGTACGGATGAGGAAGTCTGCAACAAACCAAATGGGCACAAACTCCAGCGGATTTAAGAAAGGTGGAAATCGACATTCAACCTTCCTTAAACGGGATAAAAAGGTGCTTTGCCAGTGACTGCAGCTGACGTCATTAAATCCCATCGTGCCTTCAGATCGCTTACATGAGGTTTAAAAAAAGGCCGCGGAGGTCCGTTGGGACGCGGCAGGACAGTTCAGGGTTGGAGCTCATCCGCCGCAGATGGGATTCACGCATGAACGCTCTCTGGAGACGTGCCGGCCCCGTCAAAAGGGAACGAGGCATCGGCCATTAAAAGTTACGAAATACACATCAACAACCATTTCCTTGCTCAACGCAGAAGGCTTATATCCCTGATTGGGTCGGGGACCCGTACGTCGAGGCGGGTGCAGAGCTCCGGTTCACACGACGTGCTCTGTAGTGATCTAATGTCTTGAGCGTCCTCCTTCAAAGGCACGATGCTCCATGTGAGCTGAAAACGTCAAGAGGGAATCAGGGTGAGAACGAACCCTCATGGGAGCAGAACAAACATTCACATTCACTCGTTCCTCAGCGCTCACGTCATGTGACATCATGATGTCATCACCTCGCTGCTGCTGCACCAACAGTACAGTGAGGAGACTGTTTGTAATGTTAAATTGTGTTGCATGTTACATGGCCATAGTTAGGGTTATTATCATATGAAAATAGTATTTAAAAGTGCAATCGGACAATAATGAAATGTATTAACTTGATAGTTTAAGCTTGTAACTTGTTGAGAGATACATGCAGTCTGCCAGGGAAAACGTTTTATTTTGAATAATGTGTTTGTTGCGTTAACTTAACAGTGGTCTGGTCTGAAAAATGATCCTCTCTGGCAAGAAGATGGCGAACATTTCTTTGGATTGCTAGGTTTGTTTGTTTGTTTAATAAAAGAGTTTCTTCCTAATGCAGCATTAGTGACAATAGTCCCGTGACGATAGAAAGTTTACTGCACGCTTTCATGCATCAGACGGGACGCGGAGCATCACCTGTATCCCTTCATAAGCCCCAAACGTACAATATGTGCAGGAGGGAAAAAAGAGGCATACTTACACTTATAAAAAACAGCTTTAAAAGACATGTGCGGGAGGAGCTCATAGACTTTGCCCAAGATATTTGCTTCCCCAGCAAGTGACGCGTCGCTGTTCCAGATCTGTACAACATCCTCCCGATCCCGGACGCTGACGCTGACGCCGACGACCTCGTCGTCTGGGAAACCAAACGGGAGAAATAATTCACCGCTCTCTGGGTTGTGGGACAAAAGCTCATGGACCAATAGAAGCTCACCTGAGGAACAGTAATCTGCAAACTGCTCCCCGATGGTAGCAAGTAACAGTTCTTTCCAAACTGCAGACTGAAGCGAGAAGAACAGAGGAGCCAACGAGTAATTCACACGTTTCATCTACTATGTGAGAAGCTGCTAAACGGAGCACGACGCCTACGGTGCTTTCTTTTGGTATCTTCATCTTCCACACTCCTCCCTTTGCGTTGCTTTCTTCTTCCCTGTTGGCATCAAACATTTGGTTTTAGTTGATACTCTTCAAGTTTTCCATTAAAGACATTTGGGACTTTAAATGAACCGGGGAGACTTAACAGAGGAACATGTTGGATAATGTCGAATGTTGAGTGGTAATTATTATCATTACATTATCACTTTTTCTTTGTATGATGCAACTAGAGAATAAAATGACATTTGAACAACATAAAGTCAGTAGAATTTGCCGTGTGGTCGAGCTGCTGTTCAGCAACCTACTCAGTATTTAGAACACTATTGATGGTAACAATGGACCCACCACAGCGGCCTGCGTTCTCCACGCATCAAGTGATAGCTGCACCTCAGAGGCAGGGCTGTGGCTGCAGGGATGTTGTTGTACACACTCCAGAACAGCTGTAAACACAAACAAAAACACATGGTAAAAAGATGTGTTCCTTCATAGAGCTTCGTTTTATAACAACAGACTAAATTGCCGAGAAGAACCTGTTGATTATAATACGGGTCGATGACGTGCAGCATTCTGAGCTCGGGTCCGGGGACATTTCTCTCCAGGCTACTGAAATGCAATTATTACAACTACTATTCATGATGTATAATAAAAGGTACTGGAGGCAGGACAGTTGGTGGGTGGCGTTGGGCCCGACGCACAGCGGAGCTACAGCCTCTTCAGCTTATTGCTGGAATAAAGTGCAGCGCTTTCCCAGAATGCTGCTTCCTCACCGCAGCAGAATTATGAGCATGTTCAAAGAAATTCAACACTGGACTTTTATTGTCGTTCGTCAATCTAGCAGACTTCCAGTAGAAGGTGAAGAGTATTGTAGTGAATTATTAAGTGACTGCTCTACGTCTCCAGAAGTCATGAGGAAGAAGAATACTATTTAGGTGCTTTTGTAAATCCCCCCTCAGACGGACAAAGTCTGGTTGTGTGACTAAATGTTCATTGATTTTTTTGTTTAAAAGATTATTCTGGAATGTTTTCTTTTCTTTTACATGGTCCAAGAACTAAAATGAGCTTGACATCATTATAATAGATGAATACTATGAGATCACAAATCAAAATATCGGCAACTTATAATCATGTTATAGTCTGTTAATCAACAGGAACTTTTCAATTAACAACAGTGAGAGTGAAAACGCTGCCGTGCCGCGGCGTCAGCAAAGCGTGCAGACGTGTCCCTGTTCCAGGACGTGGTGGTTTCACCCTCCACCAGCACACGTGCACTGCTGGTGCACGTCAACAGCTCATTTCCTGCCGTCTCACCTGAACACTCTGCACCGTGTAGATCTTCTTCAGGCCGGATTCACACTGAGCGGCGGTGGTGCCCGGTAGTGACCTGAGGACAAGGAGGGAACGCGTCAGACGGAGGACAAGGACACGCTGCTGCTCCCGGGGGTCATTAAAGCAGCGAGCCCCCCTGCGGGGTCCCTAGTGTTTGGATTGTAGAGACACAGGCTTGTCTGAATAAGGGATCAGTTACTTTATTGATTACAATCTGTCAGATTGTTTCGCCTCTTTACGGTTGCATTAGTCAAATGTGACATGTTCAAATCAACGAGCCAAATGTCACATTTGGGTTTAGAATCACATACAGACGCAGATTGTAGGCGTCTGTTGACTACAACGGGGTCCGGACCCGTTGAGGTTTCACTCCTTTTCAGGTCAACGGGAGGACCGAGCGGACCCGTGACGTCATTAGAAGAAGGAAATGACTTGTACGTCGAATTACACACAAACAGTTATGGTCGCTTTTCGCCGGCCGGGCGTCCTTTCAGCGTAACACCCGCAGGCCCGCGGGAGGCCTCGAGCCGCGTTCGTCTCTCCTCCATCCCCGCGGCTCGTCCCGGGGGGGCGGCGCTAACTTTACCTGTCCAGCCAGAACGTCCACGGCGAGTGCAGCGGCAGCTGGGCCGCCTCGCCCCCCCGCTGGCTCCTCGCGATGTTTTCCAACTCTTCCTCGTCGATGTCGATGCCGCGTTCGGGGGTCACCGTCCGCCCCGCGGGGACCGACATGGCAGCAGCGCCGAGTGCGACTCAAGTGAAGAACCCGGTTTCCTTCTTCCCCTCCAGGCCAGAGACCGGCGCGCGCGCACGCACGCACGCGCACACACACACAAGCTGGCGCTTTTCCGCCTGCCGACTGGTGACGTCACTGGGCAGAAACGTCACAGACGGTCCGTCCCAGAGAGCAGGACAATGAGGGGGACGCCTCACTCGGTCCGGTTTTCAGGGTCTAAACGGGATGAAAGTTCCTACACGGATCTGACCGAATATGACGAATCATGAAGATGATTTTCTATTTTCATAAACATAATTCAACTTTGTGACTCAAATGGCTTCAAATGAAAGTTATGTACTGTGGATCACCGGTACTTAAGTATCATGGAAATACAACATTATATATATATATATATATGTGTGTGTGTGTGTGTTCCCACACAGACAGCAGCAATTTCAACGTCACGAGTGTGAAAAGGCACGTCAACATGTGTTAGTTCATGCATAAGTAACAACAAATGCACTGATGTTTCACCGGCGAAGCGTTGTTCTAATATCAATACTACGTGTCTAAAAATACAATACCGGCGGGGTTACACTTTGCTACTATTGTACTTGTTGTTGTACTTGTGGTTCTGAGTCAAAGCATCATCGTTTTCATTAGTTTTTCTTGATGCTGCTTTGATGCTGATGTGCTGTAACCAAAACATCTATTTCTAATCCTTAAAGAATGGAGAGAGAGGACCAAAATGTAGATACTTCACGACAGTTTTTGAATATCACATTTCTACCTAAAACTTCTTTCTTGTGGTCCCAACGTGGTCCCAACATGTGCAGACAAGGACGTGGGCAGTTCTTCTTTTTTTTTATGGAGTGAGGCCTCTTCTCGTTGCACCATCTTCAGGCCCCTGTTGTCTTCAGAGGGGCCCTTTGGTGGAAGTGGGCTGCGTACAAGGTCCAACAACACAGTTGGGCTTTGGGCATTTCAGCACTGGAATGAGCAAAATGTGATCTGAATCTCATCTGCCTGCATCCACACGGTGCACATTCCTGCCCCAAAGGCACTGTAACACTTTAGACCAGCTGTATCTAATAACGAAGCCATGTCTTATTACCCTGCTGCTTGACCATCAACACTGCAACACCAGAAGCCCCTCACAACAGATGCGTGTGACCTCGACGCCCCATAACCAGCCATGAAGCGTGAGCAGTGACGTGAGCCTTTCACTGTTTCACTATGTAAAAACAAGGCCAGTGACAACTGTTGAAGTGCCAAAACGCCTGATTCCACATGCGCTCCTGATGCTCCTCGCAGCGGCTGCAGGGGGGGCTGGTGGACCACATGGTGAGCTGTGGTCCAAGACGCAAGTTGGCTGAGGGCAAGATTTTGTAGTTAATACATTCTACTGTCCATGAATGAATGACTATTGTTTGGGTTGTTTAGTTTTACAGTGTTCAATCTCATTATGATCTCGTGAAAAAAAAAAACAACAATAAGAAAATGTGTCAACAACACGCAGTCTTTAGATTAAAACGAACAGAAGAAAAAAAGTACAATTATAACAGAGTGAGAATAAACTGAAAACAAGTTTAAAAAATTGAAATAAAATAAAAACATGATCAGTTGTTTTACATAACATGTAGATTGCAGTAGACACGCACTGCCGGATGAGACTGATCCCAGGTCTGCTCACGCGGACGTGCGCCGCATACGGCTGTAGACGCCGCTGCGTGCGAGCCAGCGGTGGACGGACCCGCTCCGCGAGCCTCCGACCCCCGCCCGGCTCCCTCCAACACACCTGCCTCCTGAGGCTGGATGTTCATTCACATCGATCGCTGAGGCGGCGGATGCGTAATTACGCGGTGCGTCCGCGCGGCACCGTCTGCGTTTAGTGGAGCGGGAGACCTCCGCCATCGGTCGGGGGACTGAGATGAGCTCCGAGAGCCCAACGAGACGGTGTTTAAAGCTCAACCGGGCTGCCTCGACCCAGCAGAAGCGGCGCCGACTGACAGGGACGGTCTTTTGTACCGGACACGTGTGAGATGAAGGACAAGAAGAGAAAGAAAAGATACAGATGCTTTTATTTTGTTTGTTGATCGCAGAACAAACCGGGATGGATGCCAGCCGATGTTGAACGGATGCTTCTGAGTGGAATTTATTCCTGAGTTTTATTGTTTTTCTTTTCTTCCGTTAAAGGGCTTTACGGATCGAGATCGGGTTTTTTGGGGGGGGGGGGGGATTGTGTCGCTTCCCGCCTCGGCAGGAGGGGCTTCCTACCACGCGATGATGGATTGACGCGGGGGATCCGCGCCGCACAGATGGCGAACGCGAGCGCGTTCGGGGAGAGCAGCCCGTCCTCCCACGGCTACGCGTCCGCGGCCTCTGCGGTCAAGCTCGCCTGCCTGGGTCTGATCACCGGCGTCAGCCTGCTGGGCAACGCGGCGCTGTCGCTGCTGCTGCTGAAGGACAGCGCGCTGCACAAGGCCCCCTACTTCTTCCTCCTGGACCTTTGCCTGGCCGACGTGGTGCGCTCCGCGGTCTGCTTCCCCTTCGTGATGGCGGCGATCGGCGGCGGCGGCTGGCCGTACAGCGCGCTCTGCTGCAAGATCGTCGCCTTCATGTCGGTGCTCTTCTGCTTCCACGCCGCCTTCCTGCTCTTCTGCGTCAGCGTCACCCGCTACATGGCGGTCGCCCACCACCGCTTCTACTACAAGCGGATGAGCCGGTGCACGTGCGCGGCGGTGATCTGCATGGCGTGGACCCTCTCCGTGGCCATGGCTTCTCCGCCGGTGTTCGACGTGGGCACCTACGAGTTCATCCGCGAGGAGGAGCAGTGCACCTTCGAGCACCGCTACGTGAAGGCCAACGACACGCTGGGCTTCCTGCTGATGCTGGCCGTGGTCGTGGGGACGACCCACGTGGTGTACGTCAAGACGCTGTGCTTCGTCTACGACCACCGCAAGATGAAGCCGGCTCAACTGGTCCCGGCCATCAGCCAGAACTGGACCTTCCACGGGCCCGGGGCCACCGGGCAGGCCGCCGCCAACTGGATCGCCGGCTTCGGCCGCGGGCCCACCCCGCCGACGCTGGTGGGCATCAGGCAGGCGTCGCACCCCGGCAACAGGAGGCTGCTGGTGCTGGACGAGTTCAAGATGGAGAAGCGCATCGGGAAGATGTACTACATGATCACGCTGACGTTCCTCGTCCTGTGGGCTCCTTACATAAGCGCCTGCTACCTGCGGATATTTGTGCGGGGAGCTCCGGTCCCGCAGCTCTACCTGAGCGCGGCGGTGTGGATGAGCTTCGCTCAGGCGGGGGCGAACCCCATCATCAGCTTCCTGTTCAACAAGGAGCTCCGGGTGCGCCTCAGAGCCCGTTTCCCCAGCTGCCGGGGGACGCTGACGCCCACGGAGCCGTACTGCGTCATCTGACCCGGACACACCGGAGACGCTCGCATCTCGTCTCAGAATGTAAACACTGCTCCCAACACGTGCGCGCACACACACGCACACACACACACACGCACACACACACACGCACACACACACACGCACACACACACACACACACACACACACAGGAGGGTGAACCCTTTACCCACCAATGAGATGTAAATAAATGCCTGAACATTCCAATCGGAATAATTAGATCTATTTTCCAAGAGAATCCTTATGCATTGTATTAATTACAATAACATAACCTGTATGCGTAAACACTTCATCAACCTTATTCATTTTCTTTGTACATGAATGTCACATCAATGTCATCTGGTTTTATATTCGTAAATTCCCAGAAAGCTTTTACAGAACCGATGACTGAAAAAGGACTATTTTATCAGCTGATCCGTCCGCATCCTTCTAGTTGTTTGGATACCACAACTGAGAAGCAGATGTCAGTATATCTTTTAAGGAGGATGGTGTCACAGTATTAAATACTGTAGTCTCTCTTCCCCCCCTTTTTTCTCTTTTTCATTGTTGTATATTTCATAATCCAGGGGGAATCTTTATCGTCCAAACTCACTATAAAGGGTATTTTCCAAATCCGTAATCTGGTTGAAGGGTTGAGATGTTGGTTCCCTCCTGTATACATATGTTCCTTTTTTCTACAGATGTGGACATGATACTCTTTAGCAATTTGGTGCTCTGGAAAGGATGAAGGATGTTTGCACTGTTTGTATTTCTTAGCAAATAAATGAGACGTGGATGATAAGTTGTTTGAGTTCTATAGTCTGTTTGTAACAAGATGCCTGATCTGGTTCTGCCCCTTATAGCGTCCTCATGCAGCCTTATGTTTCCTGTTTCCTGGCAGCCCCCTTTCAGCCCGTTGCATCGGTTTGAAAATAGACATGATAAAAAAAAAAAAACACAGAGTGTTGCGCTCTGTATTTGAAGAAGTCAATACAGGCCTTGGTATCATAGTGGTTCTATTGTGGATCTTCTCATTTCCCTGGTTTTACTTAAGGGATGTTTAAGGGCAGTCCAGCAATTCAAAATCTGCTCATCCATAACCACCCATAACCATCCATAAGCACCCATAACCCATAATCACCCATAACCACCCATAACCACCCATAACCATCCATAACCACCCATTATCACCCATAAGCACCCATAACCATTAGCATCACCACACGCCTGCTGCTTCCTGATCCGGTGCTCGGCTCAACGCAAACGCAGCTCAGTACGCAAAGAGTACTGCATCAATTCACCATTTCCCTACAATAAGAAATACAATATTTTCCTGCCTACATTACCCAGAGTGCAACTCCAACTGTTTTCCAGATTTGGGTGTATTACGCTCGTCATTGTAGCCTCACGTCCAAACCTTTCTCCTAAAAATGACTTTCTGTTCAGAGTCGGGGTGAAGCAATAGAAGCTTAGAATGTTCATTACGTTAAAATGTTTTTTACACAGATTTTAACTCTTTTTAAATGTTCTCATGTTCAGAGCCACAGAAGATCAACGTCCATTTATTTATGTGAGTTGGACAAATGTGATTGTAGCTTTGAGCCATGAATCAAACGTGTCACAGGGGTTCATGTCATAGATGAGAGATTACCTCTTCCTGCTCCACGGTGAGGGCGAGAGAAGAGTCTCTTAGTCTTTTGACCACAATTCAGACGTTCTCACGCTTTTTCTTTCATCCACTGTGTTGTGAGTGGAAGCATGAAGAGCGCCGCCTGGTTCTGTGTGTTTGGTGGTGAGTGGATGATGACACTGGAAGTGTTTATCTCTTCATGCTTCCCTGGAGGGCAGCTGGAAACTTAAATAAGCTGATGTGGAGAACTGGGAGACAGCATGAGCCGTTTATTCAACTGTCAGCCACTGAGGTTCCCGTCACTGAAATAACTGAAACGAACAAAGCACATTCGTACACAGCAGGGAGCCGTCATCATTCATCAACTCGTCCATGGGCGCATTTCCCTTTAAAATATAGCCTCATTTAACGTGCCACAATGTATTAATCAATTCAATCGGAATCTAAATTATATATAGCATATTTATATATGTAAAAATAATACAAAAGTACAATATAAATATACATCTATATATAGTTTCAAGTTAAACATATGGTTTAATATTTTAATTATCACCAAAAATGACAAAACATTATTAAATATATATCTTTATTCAAAATAAACAAAGAAAACAAGTGTTGGTCCTCAGAGGAAGTAGTCTGGATACTTGAGTGGCGAGAGACATTTGTTCCTCCCCTCCTCTAAGGTGATGCACATCAGGTTGGGCAGGCAGGGACAAGTATGGTGGAGTCTTTTTCCATTGAAAGGAATCTGGAAGCAGAAAGAAAAACCTTTGGTTTATACGTCATTTAATCTTCCTGAAGCGTAAGTGGAATGTGCAGAAATATCAGACCATAATAATCATTATTAACTGCCTGTGAGGCCTTGTTTCTTTCTACAGGGATGTGAGTGTTGGAAGCATCGCTGCCATGAGACCCGTGTGGGATTAAATCATTGCTGTGCGACACTTTACTACACACGCGTGTGCTGAACTTCTCACCTTGTAGCTCAGGGGGTGACAGTCGTCTCCTTCCTGTCCCGCGGGCGCGCACATACGCAGACTGCGCATCCACAAACTCACCGCACAACACATCCCTCCCCCACACTGATAGTCCTTCTCACAGGCCTGAACACACACACACACACACACACACATAAGAACGGTTGCGTGTTCATTAACCTACAAAGCTCTCTTTGTATTATATTGTTGTATTGAAGAAGAGAAATTGAAACCTGCATAATGTTAAAAAGTAAGGGTCATATTCTCAAACACTTCTATTCATCTGACTCTTTGTGGCCAGCAGAGAAGTCGCCTCCTAATGGCTGTTAAAGGATTCAACCATTGGAGCTTCTGCATTCTCTGGATCCTTGAATGAAAACCAAATTGTTTGAATCCTCCACATTAGCTTTGACTTCATGATGTATTTTCCTTCCCTTTAGGTTCGAAAATGGACCAAAATGCAATGACCAGCTGTCACTAAATTGGGCGAATCCAAGGAGAAATGTAGTTGGTAAATATGTATGTAATAAAAAAATCCATCCATGTTGCGTATGGGATGTAATTGTATACAATGACATGCTAATTGTCACACGTTTTAACAGGAGAAGCCGCGTACACGAAGTAGAGCAACACACGCACACGACGCACACCGGTGTTACCCAAACAGAATATTAAGCTAGAGGTGTGATGTGACTAATGTTATGACACCATTAGTCACATCACACCTCTAACTAACACCTCGGGGTCTGTGGTGGTTTATTGTCTCGAGTGTCTGGAGGAGATGCTGAGTGACACGTCTCGCTCTGGATGAGATGAAGGAAGGAAAAGCAATGAAGAGGAACACAAGTGATTTCATGTGACAGACATGGATGAAAGTCCTCCTCTGTTTTATGGCTGCATGTTCCTCTCAGCGACCGGAGGGCTGTTGTGACAGGGAGGCTGTTTTATGAGCTACGATTTATGCTCATAGCTCTCTAAAACATTTTGGAAATATCTCAAAGAACTGTGTAAAATAATACACATTTACTTTAAGCATGTAAATACACATACACATAGATGGGAGGGCACGTATTATTTACATAGTAGACCATTGTACTTTTAGAAAATAATTCAGAATTAAAGAAGAAATAAAGAAATAAAAATATATTAATGTTCAAAATATTATGATGATGATGATTCATTTTCACTACAGTGCATTTGTCCTAAGCTAAAGGTTTTCATTATTTAACATAATCATTATTTAAAGTAATTTGCCAATTTATCATCAGAGGAAAAGTGTTAAGCACGATCTTATTTTTTACAGGAATATTGGACCGGTTTCTTTTTGTGCTGCGACGTGTGAAGCAGAAAATGACTGCAGTTGGTAAGAAGTTCATCATTCCCACCAGAGACAACGTTGAGACGTGCACATCAAATAAGAAAATGTTGCCCCTCCCATCTGTTCTCCCACTTACCCCAGTAATGACGGCTGAAGATCCGCGGGACACCAACAGCAGGGTGAAGAAGAGGAGGACGAAGGACCTCATGGTGCCGAGCTGTCTCTGCGCTGTCCTCCAGGGAGAAGACTGAGGATGCTGAAGATGTGGGACTTTGCTGCGCGTGCACACGTTACCGACCGCGGAGACGAGTGGCCTTCCAACTCGTGCGAGAAGGCTGGCAGAGGTTTTATAAAGCCAGCCCGCCATTCAGACGCCCCGTGACGCCAGCAGCACCTCGCGGGGGCTGCAGAAAAAAGACCCCACAAAGGCCGAGGGGAACAGTGAAGCGCCAGTGAGCTCGCACGCCTCTTGTTTTATGCTTTATGGGGAACGATGGCATTGTTTCTGTTTGTTAGATTCAAGGCCACACATTTCGAAGCCTCCTCTCAAGCCCACTGAATCTTTTTGTCCCTCACGAATGTTCACTGGTTAAAAGAAATAAACCACAGGCCACTGAGTCTCACAGCGATGCTCATTTACTTCATGAATGATATCAATACTATGAGTCTCCGTCATTTGTCACGATCTACATTCTCAATCTTATACTTACTTTCTACCCAATATACATTAACCAATTTCATAATCAATCAATAAATTAATGAATTTATAGAGGGAAATATTTGAAGATTTCTGCTTTTTAATAGTCGTCACTCTTTGGAATATTGAGATCCACAGCAAAGTTTCATGAACAACCGAGTTAATTTTTTTTAGCAGATTAAAAGACTCATTTTGGTATTTTTCAATCCCTATTTTTTAGGCTTAAAATGATTGAAAAGATGCCAACGTCTTGCCTGAGTGTTTGGTTGATAGTTACATTGAACTAAAACATTCTGGGTGACGACGCAAACAGAGAACTACGTAGACGATGACGATGACGATGGTGATGGTGACGGTGATGATGATGATGGTGATGATGATGATGTATAAGTGAAGCAAGTGACAAAGTGATGCCGAGGTCTCGTCAAAGTCAGTGTTTCCGAGCAGCGGCAGCTCTTAAGACTGACAGGGACAACGGACACTTCTGAGCGGACGTGTCTCCGTCACAGATCAGCAGAGTGACAGCGAGTCACACAAGAGGACGTCTGCGTTCAACGAGGGAAATCTTTCTCCGAGGGGAAAAAGTTAGAATAGAAATAGTTGTCGTATTAAAGCATCGACGTGTAAAACGTGGTCCTCTGTCGGCCTCGTTCACTGGTGGCTAAACGCCCAAATGGCGCCGCCCAAAAAACGCCGGCCTCAGCTCTTCATCCGTCTCTGACAGACTGCAGTGGAGCCGGCGCTCGTCCCCCGACTCGCGTTCCTCTGCCATCTCCGACCTCATTGGCTCCCCGTCCACGAACATGTGAGTGTAACAAACGCCACTAGATTACAGGGTCAGAGCAAAGACGGAGCATGTCAGGGGATCAGCCCCCCTGCGGATGACATAATGTTGCTGCAGCCGCAGGGCCTCCTCCCTTATCTTGTGCCGCATAAACACGCCAACATCCCACGCACATAATCTGCTTTTCCCTCTCTCTCTATTACATGACCCTCTTGTAGAAGGTTTAACGTTGGCTCACTCCAGATAAAGCCGGCCCCCACCTCACTCAACAGACCCCGAGCGGAGATTAGGGAGGAGCATTTTGTCCATGCGTGTTATTTTAGTATTTAAACTCTTATTGTATGATATACAAAGGAAAACACGGCACAAGGAATTATGAGGAATGCACAGTGCTGGATTCTGAATGGGAGGTGGATTCTCTCTCAGATGGTGCGATTAATTAACATTCTCTGGAAGCGGCGCTGAGGCCGCCTCACTTTTCATGCCTTTCATACAGCAGCATTCTGGCAGAGGACACATTTTGTCCTTGGTTGTCGGAATAGAAGCTGAGGACGCGGTGCGGAACAAATACCGGAGGGCCGGAGGACAGCGGGAGGTCGCGGGTGGGGAAATAGTGATTATGCACACTCCTTCCAGGTGGCGTAGTTCAATGTGGACATCGCTCTGGAAGTTGTTTTGGGCGTTGAGTTCTGCCACGTCGCATGGACTTTTCTGAGTAACTTCTGTCAAAGCCTTTTGTTGACACGAGCATCATTTCAGACCCCTTGAGACGTGTTCACAACATCCACACCTCTCGTATTGGGAAATATCTCCATCCAAACACAAGTTTGTAGCAAATCTATTCTGCTGGACGTCCTTGGGTGATGAGGGTGACGCATTCAGTCTGAACTTAGAGCACCGTGGATGTGTGATGCATCCGGACACCACGGGTCTGTTTATACATGTGATGTGATACACAACCCTTTAACAAAATGTAACGACATAAATGAGTAAAGAAATGCTGACACATGACACACTCCTCTGGGGGGGCAGCTGTGACAAATCCCTTGCATGTAAACACTTTAAGTTTGGGATTAATTTTATTCTGCAGCGTGAAAACCAAATTGGTAACAAAGTTCACGGAGGACGTCGTGAGCGTTGTAGCCGAGTAAACAAGTCTGTCAGCGGTCGATGTCTCATTAGGACTGCCAGCTAAAGATGCTCATTGTCTCACATGTCTCGCATGTCTCTGGAGATACGCTTTCATCCAAAGTGACTTATAAAAAGTGCATTCAACCAAGAGGGGAACAGAACCGGATCGACCAGAATCAGGAAAGTTCAACCTCCGCGCCCTCCAGGGGGTCCCGTGCCAGCTGTGACTGGGTGATATGGTGCCCTGGTGCTGCCCGGCCTAAAACCAGACAGACAAATGCTGCAGTTGGTGAAGAAATGACCAAACCTCAGAAGACCCAGAATGCTTTAAAGCAGAGCTAATAATAATAATGCTGTTTCTGTCCACAAGTTGGAACCCAAATGTGTGCTAATGCTACGTGTGCTAATTGTGTGCTTAAGTGGTTTGTGGTTTGTGCAGTTTTAGTACCAAATAAACCAATAAATAACTATGATACCAACTAAACGATGGAGACATTCCCAAATGATGCGTTCTGCACAGATACAACGAATGTTCCACAGGTCTCACTTACAGAGATTTTTATTGCATTACAAATGTTGGTTAGAGATCACAGCGTGTTATGTATTATTCATAAACCCATCTAATCATTATGCAGATGCAGGTCTCTGACCTTAATTATGAGGGGACACATGGCTGACTCCGCTCCGTATCCGGGAAGATCTGGATGGCGTCTCAGCTGACCCGTGCATTGCTAATGAAGACTCACTGAGCCCAGGGGTTTCCTGGCTTTATTTAGTAACTAGTGAGCGTGGACAGTAGACACGGCGTCCTGTATCCTTGTGGCGGTACATGCAGGACTGCACCTTCTACATGCTGCAGCTCGGAGCAGTGAAAATCCAACATTTAGTCAGATGTTTCTCTTCATAGAAACAATACTCTCCAGCTCGGGAATAACACGGCCTCATTGTCATCGGAGGAGCCTGAATATGACTTTGTTGGTGAGATTTGGGGATGCGGCTCACACACTTTGCAGCCAGCAGATAAAAAGCAGGGCTTATTCTCTTACCGGGTTCCAACGCGTCTGCTAAACACTCAGATGTCGCTGTGGTCTCAGAGATTAAACACGGCGCGTCTGCGTGCTCACGGCTCCTCGGCCCCCTCTGCCACCTCCCGTCCTCGTCCTGCTCAGCCTAATCCCTCCCCAGGGTGAGAGATGAGCAGCGGGGGGAGTCCAGGACTCATAACTGACAAGACCTGGCAAACCCTGGCCTCCTCCCCCCGTGCCCTCCAGGGGTCACAGTGACGCTGTGACTGGCTGATACGTTGGTGCCTGCATCCGGGTAAAGCCTTCATCTTTATACACACAGTGAATATTACATCATGCAAATAAGACCGCTACAACAAAGAATATATATATAAAATTTAATCCGTCCTCAAACAGATTTGTTTGCAAAACATGATGCATGAATATTTCAAACACGCTCAATGAGCAAACACACGGCATCTGCAGCGAGACGGTGAGCAGCATGAATATGCAGACTGGTGCATAGATCGCTTCACTGGGAGTCAATGAGCGCTGTGATGAGGAAACACCACACTGTGGGCCGGGAGCCGGGACCCAAATGTGATGAGATGAGGTCATGTTTGAGGACGAGGAACTCTTCTGAGAACAGTCTCCACTTTTCCCCCCGTTCTAAAACGTGACTGGACATTTCAGGAGAGCTGCTCACGAGGGCGAATCTCTCACCAAGAGAAATCCAGTGAGAAAAAACATTTATGCACAATTCATATTTTTTAGGTTTTTCTGTCCCATTGTTTTAGTTTTATTGTGCGCATTTCACTTCCATCAGTCTTATCGACACACCAAGTACCTGTAATAACCCAGCACAGGCTGCAGTACGTGTGCCATGGCTCAGTTTCACACGGGGAGAAACCTGCAGCTCGGCATGGAACCCAAATGTTGCCGTCTGTTGTCTGCACAAAACATACATTACCAAAAACAATGACTGTTGAGGCAATGAATCACTGCCTCGTGAAGGATTTTGGATTGTTTTTAAATAACCTTTGTGGATTTCTGTATCACTTCATGTTATTGCATAATCCCACAAAAACACATGATTTATTTTAATGTTTTACAAAATGTTCAATACTGCAGCCAATTACTCCCCTGCCGTCCTTTTCAACACATTTACTTTTGTTTCCCTAATATTTTTAGAAAGACAATTTCCGCCCTGTGCATCAGCATCACATACATTATGCAAATAGTTCATCGCCTCTCACCCTCGTCGCAGACAATTTCTCCACCATTTCATTTGATTTTATTTCTAGGAAATATGTAAAAATGTAAAATCTCATCCCACGAACAGAAGATTATTATTCTGTCAATCCAGCACCCTGTTTAAGAACAAAATATCTTCCACATCTCTGTAAGAACCGGGCGGGAGGCAGGACTCAAACGCAGAGTATAGGATGACCGTTTTATTCGCACAGAGAACAAATAGGTCCAAGACATAAAGTCACTCCAAGGCTGCTTAAGTTAACCTCACTGGGACTTGACGCTGGACAAAAGAGCTACAACGAAAAAACAAAGTGAAAACTATGATCATGAAACTGAACTAACTATGGCACGGTAAACGATGGTCACGAGACTAGACTAACTCGGGTCTCGGGTCTTGGACACTGGCTGGTACGAGACAATGGGAGATGCAGGCTATAAGAACACATGGGGGGGAAGAGGAATCAGGGAGGACACTCAGACTGGTGACGCACAAGGAACCTGAAACGAGAGGAGAGTTAATCTTCAAAATAAAACAGGAAGTCACGAAAACAAACATGGAGACGGAACAAAGACGCAACTAGACATAACGTGTGACAATTTCCACGTAGACCTGTACGTCAATCCTCGATTGGAGTTTCTGTTGGCTGTGAACATGATGGATCACCAAACTCATTTTGCATGAAGGGAGTTTAAACAAATATTAACCAATGATTCCAATCACCTGTTACAAATTTGCTTAATTAGTTTG